CTTTCCCCCGCAAAGGCAGAACGATTGTTGGCTTTAGTGGTTTGATGACTTAAAAAACAGAATTTTAACATTTAATCAATGATAGTAGGCATGTATTCAGCACAACATGTATTTTTGTTTCAGTTTGAACAATAAAAACGTAAAAACAGCAAAAAAGGTTCCTTGTGTTTTGGGGTCTTCAAACCACTAAAGCGAACATAATCAGATCAAAACGTTAATTGTGTAGCATATGGTTGAAAAGCTTATAAAATGGCACCGTTTTCTACATATTTTGATACCTTCTTGTATACGGGGTGTAGAAAAATGTAATAAACCAATGTTTTTTTTTTTATTTTATCATAGACCTTAATTTTAATCTTTGGACCTATTTACAATGGAGTTTTTACAATTGATCCTCCATCATTTTCATTAATAAAAATTTAATGTAGAACACGAAAGTAACATCATTTACACAAATCCGTTTGCAGGTAATTGAGAAATTGCTGGATTGTATTTAAAACATGGTTATTTTATATACAAAATAATAATTCTTTTGTAAGCTCATATTTTGACTTGGAACCTCGATGCAACGTCACACTTGATTTACTTCACAAAAAAAAAAATTGTAACACTGATGACCAGCCACCCTGTATATACATATGAATTTTAACGGATTGTGTTTTTGGCCGTTTGAGACCTACGGTTAACTATTCCCTATATGGAAAATCCGCTAAAACATTTTCAACTTTATGCAAAAAGTTACCCACTACTTAACCGTTGATATTAATTTTTTTTTATTGTTTTACTTCTATATGTGTGATAACTAACCCAAGAAGTAATTCCTTAACTGGTTAAGTACTACACGTGACTATAACAATATACTTGTGATGTTGACACAATAATAGCTTTGGCCTTGTATGTCGAAACGGTAAAGAAAAAAAGTCAAAAAGACAATTTCTTGAAGCAGCTATTAAAAATACTCCTTCATGAATAATGTATACTCGAGTTATTATTTAAATTATTGATACTTTTTGCTTAAGTCGTATCATGGATAGTAAACAACAAAATATTCTAGGAACACGAGTCCTTCAAATAAGAAACAGAAACTCTATTAGAGATTCTTGAATAAAATCGGTTCTCACTCTTACAATAGATAAAGACTGGACAATTATTTTGACAAAACGACCCGTCACTGGCAAACACAACATGTTTCTCTTTAGGAAATTGAAAATTATTAAGTTGTTTAAACTTGTCGACATTGCCCCTTGCAAAGTAGTTGTGGTCCTATTTAAGTTTTGGAAGATTGTTTTCTTTTCCCACATTTCTGAAGTAGAAAAGTACTATATAAATACATTTAAAGTACACAAGCGGCCTGCCGTTATGTTTGTACATGACAGTTTAAAAACTCTAAATTTAAATACAGTGATAAGAACATTTCAATTTCTAATTTCATGATGAACGAGGGGGCCTGTGCGCAAAATGCGCACTTTCCAAACTTATCTCTGAGGCGTAATAATAATTAATTTCTACTTTACTTCGTAGATTACCTCGAAGCATTTACTATTGCTCGTAACTAAAACAAGATGTAAAGTTGATAGTTGGTGATGGTGATGTTGTTTAAATGTTCATTACGGATATTTTACAAAAAAATATTTAAAAAAATACACGTTTCGGGTTCTGGAATCTGATCCCGTCCTCAGGTGAAAAACTTAACTAACACATTACAACTAACGTTTGTTGTGTATTGTTTTATACCATGTGATGGAAAATGTCCGCAATAAACCTTTTCACAACAAAAACTTCATGTGATAATAAAATAGTTTGAATGTTTTTAAGACAATTATTATATTAATAAATCTACTTATTTAAAATATATGTTGTATATCTATGCCATGATGAGCCATTTAAGTATCATATTACAATGATCAATAAAAGTAGTCCATTTAAAATTCTTCTTCATTACCTGTTTCATTTTTTGTTTACAATTTGACAATGGTTAAAAATTCAAACGAAGGTTATTAGCTAAATTACAATTTACATCAAAACAGCACCTGGACCTTTGAGGGCATCTTCTATAAACAAATCAAAGGCCAGGGTAGCCATTAATAAAATAAACGTTTTAACTCATTCGTCACTTTGCATAATTGTGAGCTTTAAAAGTACATTTTTTACGTAAAAATAGGTTCAGTAGAACGGGTGGGAAAAGGAATGTAACAGATAAACTCCTTGAAAAGGTTTGGTTTGATGTGTTAATCCGAACGTTGCGGTTAGCGAAGATCAACCATTGAGCATATAATATACATGTAATACACATAATATTACATTAATATTTTATACTATGCGCTCTATGAGATCAACTTACATTGCATTTTCCTACTGCGGAAAATGGAGTAGATCTCCTGGTGGGTAGACTTCCGTATCTGTTGGTACAAACAACCGAATGAAAATATCGATCAATATATCGATTATTCGATTTATCGTTTGGTTAGTTAGGTAAGGTTAACTTAACCTAACTAACCAAACGATATATCGAATGAAACAATCGAATAATCGATGTTTCCATTCGGTTGTTTGTGCCAACAGATACGTAAGTCTACCCCTCCTGGTCGGAATGTCTAGTTATTTAGACATCCATAAAATCGTTGAAATTTTGAAAAATCACACACGAAACGAATCCTTCAACACTGGTCAACCAGACGCTAATACACGATTTGTATTGACTATCATTTATTGATGATGGATTATTGTATGGTTAAGGTACCTAGGAAATAATTAAAATAAATAAATAACGTCCTTATTTTGCCAGCGTACGGTACAAGGTTCCATTTTACATGAAACCCGTTGTCAAATACATACAAATTGAAATACATATAAAAAAATTATAACTACAGAGAAAATACTGTAAGATATTTAGAGAAAATTTCATTTAGACGAGTTTTGATCGTTTGATATACGTATTCAATTAATGCAACAGAATAACGGCGGAACGTACAAAACCGTTACATACCAATTAACTTTAAACTGGATGTTTTAATATTAGTAAATATAAATAAAAAAAAGGTAATATTTTCGTAATTTAATTGAATGTAATGTAAGGTTTGGTTGTGTAAGTTTTGAATAGTTACGGGTTTTATTTTTTATTATAAATTCAAGATTGTTTTCGTTGACGTTTTTATGGTTTCAACCTGTGTATTAATTTTAATTATTTTTCCCTATGGAGAAAGTGTTGTTTTCGCCAAAATTTTTGATTTTGAGTTTTGGGTGGAAATATTTTTTGGGCCCCCTTAACCCGAAAAATTTTGTTTTCGAGGTGATACCTGTGTGTGTGTGTTGGGGGTGAATGTGTACAGAGCTACAGAATAACCTGTGGTTCGGTTTTGATGAAATTTGCAATGTGGGTACTAATCCATGGTATTATCTCCAGGAGATTTTTCCAAATTTTGATTTTTAATGGTGATTTTCCCATGTAAGCCAATAAAATGCCATAAAACTACTGGTTGTGTCACAAACCCGACTCAAACGATGTTTATAAAATCCAGTACATCATGGTACTTTTAATTCTACACAAAATTTTACAACCAAAGCTGTAAAAGTTATGGTTCAAAAGTTATTACGATTCTGGTGATTTTATCCATAAAAACCAAGAGTTACTATCACCGCTTACCCATAAGGGTTTTTGACAAGCTAATGGGAGAAAGTATGAGTCAGATCGCTGATACTGTTAATTTAATTAACATGATTACACTATGTTGTATACGTTTATTAAGTGTTTTGAACTGGTATTATTGAGATAATATTACACCTCCACTAATAAGAATTATACTTTATACTGTCTTGGAAGTTCTGCTAATTTATATTTGTATTATTATGTCCATAAGGTAATTTTACCGAGATTCAACTAAATATTCTATTTGTTTGGATTATGGATCATCAATACAATAAGGATTAAAAAGGAGTTTCGAAGTTCTTTACTTAGTTTCTAATCAATAACTGATTGAATCCAATCGAAGTTCTGTATTTTTACTTTTGATATACTCGTCCGAATGATATGTTCAAAGTGTATCTGTATTTTTACTTCTTTGCTAGTTGTAATATAGAAATTCCAATTTCATTGTACAACTAGGATTCTTGAATGGGTTACGATTTTCTATAGATTTTAGCGAATTTTTCTAGAGGGAGGAGCTATTACCGTAGATGTCCCGGTTAAACCTAAACCGGGAACCAATTTACTAGAAAGATTGGGTTATTGAAACAATGTGTTTTGGGTATTGTAATTTGTGAAAAATTGTTTTTTCCAATATTTACCCTTAAAAACAGAAATGTTCAGTTTTAATTACAACCATTGTGTACAGCTTTGAAATCAAATAACTTTGCATATCGAAGCGTTGTTTTATGATGAAAGGTTACAGAAAATAAATAAAAAAGTGTACATCTAAAATGCCCATGATATTCTTATGTAGTTTTGTTTGTTGTTGGATGTATTTTTACTAAATTTGGCTATTTTATTGATTTCATACCATACTATAAAACAGTTTTCATTTTCCTCCCTGCAGCAGCAATCCTAAGTACTCGTTGAATCAATGTTATTTAAATATGGAATACATCTGACAACTTTAAGGTAATATTATTTTAGTCAGCACTCATTTAGACAAATGGAAATTCGCCTAGTTTGCAGGTTTACTGCAACGGGGGTATCTTTTTGTATGTTTCTCGTTATCAAAATACTTACGTTGAAGCGTCTTGTTCACGAAACGTAAGAAATTCAGTCTTGCTCCAAAATACCTTTAAAAGGCAGCAACACATTTTTGGAGCAGAACTTTGAGCAGTGCACATTATTCCTTATCAGGGCCTTTCGAAGAAATGGCCAATGTGTGCTTCCCACTGAATTACTTGTCCAGTTGCACTATTGACCTTCTCAATGCGATATCGTTGTACTTGACCACTCATTTACTGAACTTGCACTTTTCCCGTATCCCTGGGCTGGCTGTGGTCGTGGTGAGGAGAAAGTGTGGGTGTGACGGTCTAGTGGTCTGAGGTGTAGTGGTGGTGTGGTGAGGCTTCACTCGCCGTGTGTCGGTCGTGTTAGTAGGTCGACATTCTCACTACGGTCCGTTCCCCAGACGATGCACACTTCCCTCAGCTAGACTACATATACCTTCGTACCTACATAGATCTTCCCATCCTTGAAAATGAGTCCGTTAAGTCAGGTATGTAAATTAACTTTGTAAATTACAAGCATATCGGATATTTACGATTTTTTCGAAATTATTTACAGCTGATTGTTTTCCATGGATCTTAATGTGGATTTTTAGTTTCAAAACTTTTGGAATTTAAATTTATTCATTGTAAATTAAATACCTAATTAACGCAAAGTAAACTGTTTGAGAACTTTTTTAGTTGCAGAATACAGTTCTTAAAGGTGTCTCAAAATGAACATGTACATTTTTAATGGAAAAGATTATTATAGTTTTATATTCGAATCCATTGCCATAAAATTGATTGAAGTCTTGAACAATGCAAACCTGTTAATACTTGTGTATAGTATTTTAGAAATAGTAAATTTTTTACTACTTTGTACTATGTGTATTATACGAGCGTTTAACAATACAACATATTCGTTCTTTGTTAGTTGTTTGCTATTTCCCCCAAACCAAATCAAATCAAATCAAATCAAATCAACCACTACAATGCGGGTAGTTTGATTTATTGAAACATATTTCAACAATAAGATGTGGCAATAAAACTATGTAGGGAATCTTACTGAGTGGGATGGCAACTTTAAAAACTACAGAATTTTTAAAATAGAAAATCATTCATGTTTTAACGCAACCTTGTTCGATTTGTCTTTGAAGTAAGCTTTGACAATTTAATATTTCTCACATTTCATCTACACTAAACATATTTTACATATTCCAGTTAGGTAGTTGAAAAAACATCAATTAAAACAATAAAATATGTTAACCAAGAAAATAAAAATTTGATATATAGATTTTGTTTGTTATATAAGGCTGTATTATAAATTATATTAATAATGTCTATTGGTCTTTCTTCATTTAATTTACAGAAATATATTTATTGTATAATAACTTCCAAAAGTGCTATCATCCTTGAGCATTTTTCATCTCATTAAAATTTTTTACCATTATTCAATTTGATTGCTAGCATTGTTTTTTTATATGTATATCCATACGTAATTTCCCAGAGTTAATCATACAATGATTAATGCATGTGATCTGTGTTTTAAGTCGTTTTCTCGTCGACGTGGCAGAATGGGACCAAGTGAAATATACATAAAAACAAAACTGAAACTGTCAAAGCAATATTTATCAAAGGTACAATACAAAGAGAACAGGGGCCTGTTTCATAATAAACTGCAAACAAATATTTTTAGTAAATCAGCTGATCACCCAATGCAAATTTGATGGAAATTACAAGTTACAAGTTACAACTTGTAGTTTATTATGAAAGAGAGAAGGAGAAAACCCTTCACAATAAAATAAAACAAATAATTTGGAGAAAATGTTTAGTTTTTCAATGTCGTCAGAAATTATATGTAGACAACTTGCAGCAAACCTGCGCTCTCTGTTCCTTTAACAGGCGTGATTTCCCGCAAATATGCATTAAAGAAATTGGTATGAAATTTGCTTTTCTTTAAGATTTTTTTTACAATTGAAAATGTTTCTTTAGGTACTCGAGACGACGATATTTTAAATTTACATTATGATCAATAATTTTCTTTTCTATCATAGAAAACAAGTAACTTATGTTAAACATATTTTCTAAAAACATAATTTTTGTGGGATTTTTCAGTAAGCATACAATGAATAATGAGTAAAGAATTCTCATGACTCTTGACGAAAATATTATAAATTTGTAAGCCAGTTTATCTATATTGGAGCTTATTTGTATGTAGAGTTTGTAACAGAACTTTGTATGTAGATTATTAATACAGGACAAAGTTCTGTATGGCACATACAAGTTTGGGGCTCTTAACTCTACTTCTGGTTAGGACAATCTTCAAAGAAAAACAGTGTAACATTGTTATGATGTTGTTTTGATATAAATTAAGGTGAGGGGAGGATATAATTTATCTTAGAAAATACAAATTTCGTCAGACCTACTGATCTATTATACTCCAGTTGATGTTATAACCTTTTTTTTCTTTAAAAAAGAGGTTGGCGGCCTCTCTAACCTTGGATGTACTCGTCAACATAGACCTTATTTGCCTGTGCGCGGAACGTATCCAGCAAAGCAAGGGGTGAGCCGGTACATTACAAGGGTGAACTGTACTGATAAAAATAACTACCTTGATATTTCTTGGTGGCGAGTTTTTTTAACAAGCATAATGGATTCCTTAAACAATAAACACGAATTTGTACTATATTTTTGAAACTTAGAATATCACTTAACAGAGAAGTTACGTTTCTAAAAGTTTATATTTCTGTAGCCTCCACAAGTTTGATTTCGTAGCACAACCTTCTTTCCTAGAGGCCTGATGTTCAAATCCCGCCAACCGATAATGTCCGGCTCGCTTAACTTCAGTTATATTATCTTAAGATAGATTCTTGTCGTCTTAAAAGTTCGTTCACAAAATTTAGGCGTTTTAAGGGAAGTTCCCCCACCACTGTTTTAGCGTATGTTGCGCAGCTGATTGACGTTTTGGCAAACCTCAGCTGTTTGGCTATTGTTTTACAGTTAGGGTCAAGTGAAGGGGTAGATTTCTTCCCCTAAAACCGCTTATTTTATTTTGTGAATGGACTATCGATCTAGTATTTTGACAGTTTACCAACTAATTAACCAACCTAACCTAACCTAACTTAACCTAACCTAACCAACTAATATTCCTCTAAATTAACAACGGGTCGTTACAGCTTACGAAAAATGAAACTCATTTTCAATCCTAAAGCCCAATATGATCAGGAACGCCACACAGTTCCCTTATTACTACTGCTAGACTGTCAATGCAGCAGATACGAGTATCAAGTAGAACGTTATCTTTCTTAGCCGACACTTTAGCTAACTGATAAAAGATTGTTTTAATCGCTAATCTTAAACATTCTCTACGATAAAGTAACCTTCGAGTTTTATTCCGGGATTATAGTCTGTATCATGTAAACTGTCTCCTGGTCCTCCATCTACCCTCTAAAACCATTGGCCAACCCCCACGAGACAGGCTCCATCATACAGACTATATGAGCAGCTTGTCGAACCACATACCGGTTGAAAGTCTGGCTTTATCGATAAAGAATTGTTTTCGCAGGAGTGTAAAAGTGTGTAAAATTTGTATTGTTATATGCAGACCCAAGACAAATAACAAATAAAACTACAGATACTAGTGATTTCACAATTTTTTTAGATTGCCTGTCACTGAACTTATTTTAAAAGACTATAAATTAAAAAAATCACACAATGACATTTAGATCTCAGGACCTAGCTTCAACGATTTGGATACAAATTCATAATTTAATTAACTGATTTATCTTGAAATAATAACAATAAATAAATGTAAACTGTAATTAAGAATGATCGGACTTACAAATCGCATATTCGTTGCGTGTTACGGTAACCATATAAAAACAACGACGTAAGTCTACCGATGGTTCGATATATTAGTTGTCAATTCGATACATTAATGTATTCTTTCGATGTTGTTGCGATTATTTTCACAACTTGTTTTAATTTAATGTGAACAATTCGTTTAAGTAATACTAAGAGCATATTCTCATCAAGAACTATAAATAAGAAATTTAACTTTCAACCTTTTTGAACTATTTAACACATACAAAATGTTCACAAGGGTCAATTTCATATATCTTTTTCCCAAAGGACTTTTTCAAAAATGTAAGGCCAGTTTGCAAATCTACGCGACACGCTCTTTCCAATAAGACGTCAATGGATAAAATCGGTTAAGAAATTGCGGAGGAGTTCAACCAACAAAGTTTCATGTAGCGTATTAATTATTAGCGTATTAATTATATAGATTGTAATCAAACAGCTGATCCTTCAGTTGAATGTTTAACCATAGTCAGATGGTAAACAATATACGAAACAGTTTATGAACAAGGATTTTAAATAGACTACTTTTTGGATAATTGCAACCTAATTGAGGTATGTAAATCACCAGTCTTTATGGTGTGGATTTAAAATAGTAGTTTTTCACCCAATAACTTTTTCAAACGAACTTAATATTTGAAATGTAAAAGGGTGTTCCATGTTTTGAACATTAAAATTCAAAATTTACGCCTCGTCGAATCTTATTTGCAACCGTTATAAACTTTTACTTCGGTTGCATCAATAATCAGGTAATTAGTTCATCTTGAGCGCTAAGCTGTAGTGGCACAGAACAGCTGTTCACTCGTCACACGTCACTCTTATTTTTAGTCAAATGACTGATGTCGAAGAAGCGATCACTGGCGCACCTGTCAACAATCGCAGCATAGAGTAAGTAACCGAGTCTAAAACTGCTAATATAGCTGTTCATAGTGCTCAAACCCCGACGGTTTACTGTGATAGGGACTACAAAATTTGTTTATAAATATTCTTAGAAGAATTCACACACGCTTTTAGACAATGTTAGAAAATATATGATTTTTTATCGGTGTAGTTTGAAATTCAAAAGTAACTGATTTATTAGAAGCGATATTTCTTACCCCGAATATCGTACTTGAAAACTTTTAACACCTAAAAAAGGTACCTTTTAGCGAATTTCCCTATAGGGAAGTAGCTGTTACCGTAGGTGGCACGGTAAGACTTAGACCCGGGACCGATTTACTTTTTCATTTTGATGTCCCCAGAGGCCAAAAACACCATTCGTTCAAATTTTTATATATGTATATATATATACGTCCGTGAACGCGATAACTTGAGTAATTTTTGTCCGATTTTGATGAAATTTGGTTTAAAGGTGTAAAGCGGGATAAACTTGAATGAGTTCGCGAACCAGCATGATTGGACCATGGGAACGGGGCTTTACGGGGGGTTTTATGGGGTAAAAATTGGTTTTTCTCACTTTTGACCCCCCAAAACACAAAATTTCCCAATTTCTCTTTAGACATTTTTAAAAAGCTTAAAAAAACAAATGTATTTTTGTTCGATTTTTGGTAACAGAGAAAATTTAAAAAATTGTAAATTTAAAATTCCCATGTTATTCTTATGAGGAGTATTGTAAAATGTTGCAGTTTGCTTGTTTATGGATATTTGATCAAACTTGGCAAATTTATTTATTTTATACTAAGCTATCAATATTTTACTAAAAAACACACATTATTAGTTTCCTTGTAGCAGCAAACCTAGGTACTCGTTAAACCTAATGTTATTTAAATATATTTAATTTAAAATCAATTCAGACAAATGGAAATTCACTTAGTTGGCAGGTTTGCTGTGGCGGGGGTATTTTGTAATAGCTCTTGTTTTTGCGGATTTTGTATTTTAATTGCCGATATTTTTTGCTACGGAGTGTGTGGCATGTCCTATTGAAATGACTTAACATAGATACTGGGAATATAAAGGAAACACATACTTAAGGAATATTTATACTTTAATTGTTATGATAAGACGATAAAATAAATAAAAGAAGGAAAAATCACTTAATCAATGACAACCAACGCTGAGTTACTCAAAATGGTAAATAAAAAAGAGAAACAGTGCTTTGCGAATTATATTTTGTTTCAGTTGATTATGAAAGTTAAACGAGAATACCCTAAACATCTAAATAATCAGATTTCCTAAAACCATGGTAATTTTCCTCGTGAGATTTTTTAGCGAATTTCCCTACATAGAAAATATCTATTACCGTAGTTGACACGGTAGGCTAAGACCTAGACCCGAGATCCATTTACTTTTTAATTTTCATGTCTCCAAAAATAATTTTCGATCAAATATTTACAAATGTATATACACGTGAACATGATAACTCGTGTAATTTTGGTCCGTTTTGAATGAAATTTGTCATGAATGTGTAGGGCGTGTGTACCAGTAGGCCTATAGGCCCATTCATAAGAACCATTATGAGGTTTTGAAGTTTTTAAAAATTTGGGGTTCCCAATCTTTTATTCTTAAAACATGAAAATGACAAATTTGCATTACAACCATTGTATAGAGCATTAAAAACAAAATGTTGGATATATTTAAGCGGTGTAGATTTAAAGGTTATGAGAACATTAAAAAACTGTCTATTTAAAATCCTCATGTTATTCTTATGAAGAAAATAAAACTGTTGTTGTTTGTCTATTTATGGATGTATTTTGATTATATTTTGCAAACTATTTATTTCACACTATGCTATTAACATTTGATAAAAAATAAACTTTTCTATTCCCGGTAGCAGCAACTAATGTTATTTAATTATGGAGTAAATATGACTTGTTTACGGAAATATTTAAGGAAAAATCCAATCAGACAAATTGAAATTCATTTACATCCTTCATTCTAAGGCAGATTCGAAACGAATTGAAATTCGCCTAGTCTGTAGGTTTGCTGAGCCAGGGATATTTTCCGGCCGTACGAGACTTTAACCACTCGTACGTGGAAGAGAGACCAAAGGTGATTCCTCACATCCTGTAAGCTGAATCCTGAAACTACTTTCTCCAGTGAAACGCAACAATCCTCTGAGTCATGCAGCCTTTCAATTTGAAAATCAATGCAACTGCAACTACAAGTCTGCAGTTTTTATTATATATATATATTTTTTGCGAGTCTGGGATTAGTGACGTATTCAGGGGGTCGTTTTAGGGATTTGAACCCCTCTTGTCCTTAAAACGTGATTTTTAACAATTTAAATTTCATTTCTACAATTTACAAATTTTCTTAATTTGTCTAATGCGAGTTTACAGGTCTAATTTTATAAAATTTTACCCGGACCCCTCGGACCCCCCAGACCCCTCAGTGAGCCCCCCTTTGGGTAATCCTAGTTAGCCTATGGGTTCAGCTGAAAACATAAACGATCTAGCTTGCACAAGAGTTATTCAATATGAATCCTTCAAAAGCACTATTTTTGTCACTTTGACAACTACACATTACTAACAGGATGAATTTAATCAATACCTTAGCGTACTGATCTTTATCGATATTACTTTTGATTAGTCTAGTTACCGGCCTAAATTCCTGAGTTAGCACGATGAGTAAGACCACGCTTTTCTTAGTCAATACTTTTACGATGACATTAATATACATTTGTTTCAATATAGATTTCTTTTATATTCTTTTTGGCTTGAAATTTTTGATCCTCTTTCACTCAAAGTGAGCAGTCCTGTTCATGTAGTATGTAGGAGCTCGATCAAGTACAGAACTTCCAGTTGCGGTTCCATGGGGGACGGGGCTACATTGGACCCTGGGGAGACAAATTCTAACTCACTCTTCGTCCTAAAAATGTAACAGTAGTTTTTGGACACAGTTCTAGACTTTGATATTGGCTTTAGAAAGTCACTAAACAGCTTTGAAAATGCAACATTTTTCAGGGATATAACCCCCAAACCCCTTCCTTTCTTGAGAAACTCCATAACCCTCAGTAGCCCCCCTCGGGCCCTAGAACCGCCATGAAGACTTTTATCATGGGCTCTCTGTTTCGAATATAAATCATCTCTCTTTGTTATAAATTTAGACCTAGGTAAACAACCAACATAGACAGCTAAAATACAAGGAACACGTTTTCTGCTTGTAGTACATTTAAATGGATTACAATGGTTTTACTGATGCTAGAAGATCATTTGTGGCCTTTTCAAAAAATCCTTTAGCAACGTTTGCTAAGATACTTTAGGCCAAAATTTGAAATAAGTAATTAAAGTTTCTCTGTAGGCTAAGACCACTCTCACAATTTTCAGGAGATGAAATCTCCCTCAGACAACTACCCTGTGCATCACGGTGGATTCACTACTTCCTGTGCTTTACCTCTGTAAAGTCTACATGTCTAAATTTGTTACAGGCAATGTCTCAAAGCGTGGACGTGTTACTGGAAGAGTCTCCCATCCAAGAGTTCTACCGGGACCAGCGTATCCTGATCACAGGAGGTACAGGGTTCCTGGGGAAGGTCCTGGTGGAGAAGCTGCTGAGGTCCTGTCCCCAAGTAGGACAGATCCTGCTGCTCATCAGGAGCAAGAAGGATGCAGACTGCCAGGAAAGACTTGACGCCATGATGGAGGATGCGGTGAGTTGAGCTATTTTCCTAGACACTTTCAAAGGTGCCCAAAACTTGTATAATATACCAAATTTTTTTATTTGCTGATTTATTATTTAGTTTTTGTTTACAGAATTACCAGTTTATACAGAGTGGTACAAAATTATGTGCAATTGAGTTGGTAATATCATTGAATATTGATAGTAAATGTCCCACTCCCATATAAAAGGTCTAGGAAAGTTAAATTGTGCCTTCGCTGATAAATTCGCTGATCTCAATTAATGATCAAATATCATTGTACCAAAAACTTAAAAAATTAAATTTTGAAAGCAGTACACTTTGTGAGTGGACCATTTTATTGTTCTATTAGAATAAACATAGGATAAAATTGGAGCTGGTAGAGAGGGTATGGTGTACTTCAGTATACTAAAGTCAATGGATACATTACATCATTTTTAGAAACAACAGTGCCTGTAAAAGTTAACTAGGTTTGCATTACCATCAGCTGTTTTGTTGTTATTTGACACTCTATCAAATTTCTATTATTTTGCAAAAAACCTCATTTTCTATTAACAATTATATTTTATTACTATTTTAAACCCTTTCATATAGTAGAGTAAATCTTTTTAGTGAGTACTTTAACATTCTACATTTTAGTTAGTATCTCTAAAATTACCTTCACTTACTATATGCCTACTTTTCTACCCTTATACATAATTAAAACGCTTTTCTTACAAATATTAATGACTCTTGCAAATGTTTACTTTAGAATCTTTATGTTTCTTTATCTAAAATATTACCTTTCCAGATCCTGAAGGGAGTCTCACCCAAGAACAAGCTGAAGGTAGTTGCTGTGTCCGGGGACTGTACCCTTCCTGGACTAGGGCTCTCAGAAATTGACAGACAAACACTCATATCCAATGTCACTGTAGTCTTCCACGTTGCGGCTACAGTCAGGTAAAAATATAAATCAAAATTATATATATATATATATATATATATATATATATATATATATATATATAAGATAAAGTTTTGCTATTGCTGTTTTTGCATTCAAAGGGTGGATAATTTGTACATTTCATTCTTGTACCTACTGTAACGGCTCCTTGGTTCGCTGGATACAATCATGCACATGCTCAAGACCTAGGTAAAAAAATACGAAAATAATAATATACTACAAAAAATAGAATATTAAAATTCAAATTGCCTCCAATTTCTTAATTAAAGAAAATAAATTTCATCATCAATCTGACTCATACTTTCTCCCATTAGTTTGTCAAAACCCTTATCTTGGGCAAGCAGTGTGCGTTCTGTAACTATATTTTATGAGAAAAATTTACAAGTTGCAATAACTTTCAAATCATAATTTTTTACAGCAATGAGGGTTGTATAGTTTAATTTAAAGTTAAAAAGACTACAACGTACTACATTTTAATAAACATATTTAGATTATTCCGTTATTATATGGGTTTTTATGAAAAAAATCTCCATAAAAAATAAACATTTCTTAAAGATGAAAAAATAACCCCTGGATATACCATAAGTATACCAAATTTCATCAAAATCGGACCACAGGTATTCTGTAGCTCTCTACGCAAATTGAATCAATCATTGTTTTAGAATGAATAAATATTTTACAAGAGGGCTGTGATAAACAAATAAATGCAATCTAATTTTTGCTTTTGGTTGTTTGTAAAATTGTAAAGTCAAATTTTAGATGGACATAATGGAAAATCTATTATTTTTAGTACCGGTAACATCATTTATTAAATTATAATGTTGGCAATTAAACTAAATTGATCAAGTAAAAATTAACTTAATAATATTTTTCTGACAAAATAAATACAGTACATCTCTACTGAAAGTATTATAATTTACTTTAAACCATTAGGTCTTATCAGTTTCATAATTAAGTTGGAATTAATTGACTTTTATGAATAGCCTAATATTGATGAATAGCCATATCAGATAAAGATTATAGTAGTCATTAATACATTTCTAAGCACTGATTTTGACTGAACTGTCTTAAAATAATATTAAGGATGGATATTCATAAAAATTTCAAATGTACGAGATATATGTAAACAAATATTATTATGTTGATTGTAATACCCATGTAAAATGTATGTTATCTCATTTAAAACCATGGAATAAGTCATCACTTTTTATCATGCTGAAACAGTAATGATTCAGCAGTTCAGCTGTTCAATAAATTTATATATAAAAAAAATATAATATCTGTGGACTAATAGCCATAATCACAAACGTAAATTTAAAATATTCTGTGATGTTCAATTCATTGTAGTAGCAATCGTTGCGTTAATTCACCTAGGAGTGTAAGAAGTATTATAGAATTATCCAATTGGTTCAAAAATCGTTCCATAATAACTGATGCATTTATTTTTTCAGATTCGACGAGGAACTCTCTTCAGCTATTTCGATCAACGTTAGAGGAACGAAAGCGATTCTTGATCTAGCTCGCGAAATGCCAAACTTGAAGGTAAACAATTTTTTAATCACCAATTCTTAAAAAAATTGTTAAATAGTTTTGAGTTATAAAATGTATGAGATAATGTAATGGTACTTAAAATAGTTTATTTATGTCACTTTTCTCACTATTACACCTATAATTGGTTTAAAAACCTAAAACCAATGTTTATTCTCTGTTGGCTAAAAAATTCACTTTTTTGCACTGTGAAAGAACTAAACACTGAATAGCAAAGTACGATAAGAGATCATGCAAAACTGGATATTTACTTTGTTATTTACAAGCTTTGAAAGACTATTAGAACCCATATCTTTACTACTTTCATTTCATTTCACTTTCAACTTTCTTCATCCAAGATCAGATCCATGACCTCAACAATTCCTGAAAGTTCTTACTAGACAAAACAAAGAGTTTGTGAGTTTGTTTATGAATGGTACAGTTGAAGGTCAGAGGGTTCAATGAACTGACCTACTTGTTGTAAGAAAGCAAGGCCAGTAGAAAGTCCAGTGGTCAGAGGCTAGGCCAAGGCCATTTCCCTGTGTTCCTTCTTGAGGTATTTCATCTCAAAAGATGCTGGATATTCTTGTATAATTGATGCACTAGGTGATGGAACATTATCTTGTTGAAGGAACATGAGTTTTAACACCTAAGTGTATTGTGCAAATTAAACCAGTTTTGTGATCAGGGTTAACATGGCTTTCCATCTAGTTTAACAAGTTATCACTGCTTTTACGAGATTGCACTATTTTTGTTAAGTTTCTACCACTGTTATTAGTTTTTTATAGCTGGACTCACCATATGTGCTACCGATACCCGTATAGCACAGGCTATAGTTACATTTATTTTAATGATTTTTAATTTGTTTTGTGTCTTGCTTGAAATTTTACCGAAGTTAAAATCTTCACTCATAAAAGGGGTTTTATTTTTCTCAAAGGATTAGAATATTTCTATGTTTATACTGGTAACCTGGTTTGTATTTATTTTCGTAGACTTCTTTTTGGTCTTTTAATTAGAATAACCTGTATATATTTGATACAAAATTAAAGCTCCTACTCCCTTAAAGTGCCTTTTGAGAATTAGAAAAAGATTTAGGCTCAAAATCATAACTTTGTAGGCATTCAAAACTCCATATTTGTTAATGATTGTTGTTAATTGATTGAACTATCAACACATTTGAACTGGTACCAACTAAACAAATATGAATGGTTTTGTTAATATTGGTTGTGTTTGCTACAATTTCACTCTAACATTTTATTAATTTTCTACTGTACGGTATTAGATCTTATATCAAGCAACATTTTAAGTTGTTTATGTACTTTTAGTAAAATTTTCATTGCTTTAACCAGAATTTAAAAATGTCCTGTGATAGATTCATTTTTTTTTATTGATGATATTACTACAACACTCATTTTGCCTCTTTAAATGGAATCAAACCTTTTGAACGTGACAGGAAATTTATAAATTGCCCTAAAGGTTTTTTTTTAGGAGAGAGAAGCTTAATTTCTCGAATACTATTCCCATTAAAGTGGAATCTCATTGTGGGTAGGCTGCAAAGGGAAAATAAAAGTGAAAACTAATCTCTAATGCCGCGTTCACACCAAAGTCTTCCACTAGTTGCTTTTTCTACAAAATACAGAGACTTTTTCTGTCGTCCACTAGTAGGGAGACAAGTTTTCTAATTTTGGTTTCCCGCGGATAGTCGGTAAAGATCAAAGAAAGTTTAAAACAAAAAGTGGAAGACTAGTTGCTACGCGCTTTGCACAAGCAACTTGTGGAAAACTAGTGGAGAACTGTTCCCCCTGGCCCCTCCACGCACCCCGAGTGTGATGTCGGGTGGTAATCAATTCTTTGGCAACAAGTTTACCTCTAGTTGCTCCTAAATTAGTGAGGAGCAACTTTTGGTTTTCCTAAAAAAATCTTCCACTAGTTTCTCAAATTTGTTCAGAGCAACATTTAGTAGGATGTAAACTTTTAGTTGTAAAATTTTGGTTGTAAACTTTTAGTTGTAAAATTTTGGTTGTCAACTTTAGTGTAAACACAGCTTTAGTCCTTAATCAGAATCCTGCATGGAGTTTTCCGATCCATAATTTTTTTACTCTTTCACTAGTGGGGTTTAGCTTGTTGCAATGATATGTGTTCTATGTCTAGAACTGTTACATATTTAAACTACCAAATTACTAACTAGGTATTAGTGATTTGCTCATTTTTTGACACACTCATTAAACCAACATACTCGCTTCTTCCCCGTAATATCGACAATTTTTCCTCAACAATTGCCTTAATTAAACGCAGCCTCTCGCAATAGTGAAGCTCAATGAAGACTCAAATTCTTCTCGGTTCCCTGCAATCAAGAATATTCACCACATATGCCAGAATATATTAAAAGTTATAATTTTCCTTTTCTCTTCCGTGTTATGCATGGTGTCAACTTAATTTATACTGTTATCAACCTAATATTTTTGCTACACATTTCATATTCTAGATGTTAACAAGCTAATTTATACATAGTTTTCAACATAATTATTATTGTTATTTTTGATTGTTGTTCTAAATGTATTATTCTAGCTTGTTATCATTTTAACTGTATAATATTTGGCTAACACAATTTGTAAAAAGTGTCTTCCACCAATAAATAAATGAAACCAATTTAACCATCTCAATTGTTATTTCTATTGAGTACAGTATAATCGTTTGCAAGTAAGACAGGGTTATTATTGTGGTTTTTTACGGTTTAAAGTATTAATTTCCTACCACAGATTGAATGGTATTGAAGTGAAAGGTTGTACTGAGCTGAAACTTGTGTAGTGTGTTGTAGAGTGTCTGTCTAGCCTATAGACATTAACTTCCCACTCTCATGACACAAGAACTTATTGCTGGTTATGAGTCAGAGTTAATTCAGAATGTTAGAAGACCCATTGAAGGAGTAGATACTTATATCTACCTCCCTTAAATTATCCTTACGAGGAGATGACAAAAAAAGTTAAGAATTCATAAATTCTATATTAAGTCTTGTTGTTATATATACAATTTTCTTTTGTTGTTGTTGCCTGAGTTGTTGTAGGTAAGATGTTTGTTTGATATGCATTTCGCCACCTTGTGAGGCATCTTCAGGGGTCTCCTTAGTGTTATCAATGAATACAGAACCTTATAAGAAGCGAAACCACCATATTAAAAGAGGCGACGCTACGAAGATTGCCACCAGCGACAGTTGACGAAGACTTGGCTGGCGACGCTAGCGCTTCCTACATAAGTCTTTGTGAACTACCAATGGGGGCAATCTTCGTAGCGTCACCTCTTTTAATATGGTGGTTTCGCTTCTTTTAAGGTTCTGTAGGGTGTTAGTGATAAAAAGATGAAACAAGAAGACTCCTGAAGATAACCCACATGGTGGCGAAATGCATATCACACAAACATCTTACCTACAAGAACATAGGCAACAACAACAAAGGCAAATCTAATGTAATTCAAGTTTTTTAAACTGGGATGGAAAACAAAAATGTTATTCTATATCCTTAGTAAAAATAAATAAAAGTAAATTTGTATATTTACTTTAGACTCTTATAAATGTAACATCTACATTTGTGGGAAAATATTAGACACAAAATTTAAGTATAAACATTTTATTCTGAAAAGGAATTTAGAGTTCAGCTAGATTGCCTGAGAAAATTAGATTCCAGATGCTATAGATACACAATAAAAGAACACAAATCATAAAATGACGTTTCGTCCTGATGTAGGGATTCTTTAAGAGAGTAGGTTGAAGAAAAAATGTCTTCCTTCATCCTACAGTCCTATATCAACATGGAATATCATTGGTTACATTTTGTGTTCTTTTATTGTGTATCAATAGCCCCTTGACTTTAATTTTCTCAAGCAATCTAGCTGAACTCTATTTTTTTTTCAAAAAAACCTTACCAGCCAATAGGCTTTCCTTACAATAAACACAATATAAACAAATCAAACTTATATATTAATGAATATTACAAAATATACTAATCAACTCCAACAAATTGTGGTCTTTGAATTCTTTTGACGGTACAGTGTTATGTTACAGTCGATGGTGCACGTTTCCACAGCGTACTCACAATGTCATCTACAACAGATCGAGGAGAAGTTCTATCCTTCAGCGTACAACCCTGAGAAGCTGATGAGGCTGGCAGAGTGTGTGGACAAGCCTTACCTGGATCAGCTCACTCCTCTGTGAGTAGTAGAAAGGGGTGGGGGGGGGGGGGTTTGGAAGTAGAGAAGTAAAAGGAAAGAAGGGTAGATGGTGAGTCGGTGTCTCAGTTGGTAGCGTCACGGACTTCAGGCTCAAGGCTCGTTGGGATCCTGGTCACTCCCATTAAAATTTATCAGTACAGTTCACCTTCGCACTGTACCGGCTCACCCCTTGCTTTGCTGGATACGTTCCATGCACAGATCTGTAGTCTATGTGGACGGGCAAATGCAAGGTTAAAAGAGGTCGCCAACCTCTTTTTTTTTTTTTAAAGAAGAAAAAAAGAAGAGGAAGAGGTAGAGACGAGTAAATGAGGTTAAGAAGAAGTAGTGTAGCTAAGGGAGAAGGGGGAGCGAGTTAAGACTAAAATTAAGACTAAATTTCTTCTTTTATATTTATTGTACAGTTTTTGAAGCAACATGATTTGTTTGTTTGCAGACTCCTGAAAGAATCTCCAAACACATACGTCTATACGAAGGCAGTAGCTGAAGAGGTTGTAAGGACTAATAGTAAAGGATTGCCCGTTTCTATCTTCCGTCCAAGTATAGGTAGGAGCTAATACAGTTTATAGATCCTACCTAGGATCGCTTTTAAAGCATTTCTATTTTTTTAATTACAATTTCTATTAATTTTTGTTATATTTTAAAATGTGTTATTTTATGCAATACTTCTTGAAAATTTCTGGTGAATGATAACACTCTAATTTCAAATATGAAAATGTCAATCTGTAAAGCATGTCTGAAAGACTTTGAAGATTAATGTGTATAATTAATTTTAAAAATCTGCAACCACAGTTAAAAAGTAATTTCACTTGCGATGCTGATGAGTTGTAGGTTTTACTCCGTGATGGATGAATATTAAAATATTTTTTATCTGTAAATAATTGAGAATAGAAACAAAAGTTAAGGCATTTTAAATGAATGATTCTCCATCAACTCATACATTAACCTTGTTCTTGATGTCTATAAATGAAGGAATTGTAAATGTAACTTCCTGTGATGTATATGACCTTTCTTGTTCATCCTCTGTTATCACTATCATTGACTTCCCCCATGGATACCTGTCACAGCAAAAGTATTAGCTTATGGTTTGTTCCACAAGTAGTGAAATTTAGAAAAATATTTTCTAAAGAGGGAGAGATAAGTTTGACAGCATTCCATCTCATTTCGAGTCTTCAATTCAGCAAACATTTTTAGAAGGTATTCTTGATTTTTTAGAGGGGAAGAGCATTTTTAACTGTAAAGTCGGTGAATCTTTTCAATAGAAAAATATTTCAATTTTGTGTGTATATAAATGTGTTTCCCAATGAGTAGACACACCCACTGTACAGGTAAGCATGATCTTATCAAAAACAAACAAACCTAACTTTTCAAATTATTTCACAAACAGCTGTTACTTCATCGATAAATTCTTGCAATTTTGTACTAAAATTGAAAATTTTATTGACAGTTGTCGCCACCAAGAACGAGCCGTTCCCAGGCTGGATTGACAACCTGTACGGACCTACAGGGGTGGTAGTGGCGACGGTAACAGGAATCATGCGTACTCTCCACGCAGATCCTGACAAAGTAGCGGACATGGTGCCCGCAGACATGGTCGTCAATGGACTGATAGCTACTGCGTGGAAAACACATCTCAGGTACGATGAGTAACACCTTGACTGTGAACAGAACTAGACTTACCATCCCCGTTGTTAAAGTTGAGACCAGTTTGAGATGAAAACTGAAGGTTGAACTGAGGCACTAATATGGAGCTGATGCAAACTACTGAAACTTGATAGATACGGCAACTTTTATACCTAGACGTTGAAAATGGCTTTAGAAAGTCACCAAACGCTTTTAAAAACACCAAAATTTCCCAAGGGAGGACTGAACCCCACTTACCTTGTGGGATGTGGAACATTCCCTGTTAGCCCTCTCCCTTGACAAAGGTCCTAGAACTGCTACTACTGATAACTTTCAGATACGCCAACTTTCGAACCAAGTTAAGCTGAAAGGGAACCTTATCGCACGACATAAGCTATTTTAGGTCACATTAACTATTAGTAACAAAAACTAAGAAAGAAAATAGAATTTTAGAGTGCTAAACTTTAATATTTTAATATAAAATTAATTTTGTTTACGTCTGGTCAATAGTGAAGGGATGTGTACTTCACGCAAAATTTAATGGTAACATTCAACTAAACCAGGAGCCATGTGCGACTAGTTATGCCTTTATCATAAACATAATATTCACTGAACCAGACAATGTTACTGTGTATAAATGTAGGATTAGTTCTTACTATCTAACCTGGAAGTTAAAATATTTTACGGTTTCTATAATTTTGAATCTTTATGTTCAAGTGTTAACCTATTAGTGCAGTGTGATAAGAGTCATAATGAACAGTTATTACAAAACCTGTCTTTCCTGAAGATAAGAACCCTTTACCAGAATAACTTTTACCAGAACATTAACCTTTACCAGAACACGTGCAAAAAATTAGCCTATGCATTTAGTATTTTGTAGTTCTTGAATAAATCTTTGATTTAATTTATATTATTAATATCATTTGATTTAGTTTGTGTTCAAATTGCTGTTTACAAAACCTTGTACATTGATTTGATACTTTTTAGTCTGTATTAACACAGAAGCACAGTGTTTTAAAATTAACAATTATGTCAAGAAAGATCTTCATGCATACTTTGTTTTGATCCACTTTACATTCGTAGTAAGATGAGGCGAATTTTAATGGTTTAGCTGATGAATTAACTGATTGTTGTTATTTTCTAGAAGCAACACGATAGAGTCTGCAGAAGAAGCCCCGCAGATTTTCAACTTCGTTTCTTCACCAGAAAACCCTATTAAGTGGTCAGATGTCTTCACCTTGGGAATGAGGTATTTGTTGTGAAATAATTTATTTGAAACGTCACTATATAAATATATATATATATATTCAAATTATTTATATATTTGATACAAATGTTTTAAATTTCTAACCACTAAAAAACTGGTTCTATTAAATAATTGTTAGCATATGACATTATACATTAATTTTTTAAATCTTCCCTTAGCAAACCAATATTTCAAGCTCGTGAAGAATTACTAAGGTAAAATATAAAATTGCTTAAATTAACTTTGAGAGAATTACAAGATTATAAATTTTCTAAAACAGGTGTACCACTTGTGAGTTTGTTTGCGAAGACAATGAAAACTGATACTGCTTTATCTAGGATAATTTAGAATGATTGTTATATAACCATCGTTTTTAAATACATAAAATAATATCATGGCCATGCTCATATATTGTGCATATTGTTTTAATATCTTTTTCAGGTGAATGCATTATAACTACAAATGTATATATGTGATGTGGAAAGCGAATAGGGACCTCTTGTCGAGAATTTTGGATTTGGAATTATACATATATATTTGAATTCCATTAAATTCAGGATCACTTGGTGCAAGTCCCATGCATCTATGATTTTTTTGTTAAAGTTATAGGACTTTAACATTTTGTTATGGAAAAGGGTTATTTTGATAAAAACTGTTTTGAAAGTTTCAAATACGCATAAAAACAGTTTTTTTCATATTTTAGAAACAATTTTGGTATCAAACGAAAGCTTATAATGTCATCTTTGGAGGCAATACAAATTATTGTCTTAACTCACGGTAGTTTTTATTTAATTATTTGTTTTATCGAAGCATGTTGTTAAAATCACATTTCAGAAAAGGTACCTCTTGTCGGCCCTATGTTATTTCTCCATAAGATAAGAAAAGGTACCCCTTGTCGGGACCACAAAGTTTGTGCGATATTTTGTTCTCCGTAAACTGAACTTTGTTGTAGTTCTCTAAATTTCCACTAGAATGCAGGAGAATTCATTTTTTGGACTAAAGTCTGTTTATAAAGTGAATATTAGAAATGGGACCTCTTGTCGTCATGGCGAAATAACATTGAGGGACAAGAGGTACCTCTTTTCTCAGGCCGTGCAGAGGCTAACAAAATGATCGTCCTTTTATATCTTCAATTCAATATTTTATCTGATACTGTCCTGTTCTATATTAAATGAGGTATAACAATCGATAAAAAACCGAATTCCGATATTTTCTACCTTAATTACTTATATCGGCCGTACTGAAAATTTGCATCGCCAACAAGTCGCTTTCCACTTCTCATATGTAAAACTGTATATATGTACAAATGTGAATTGTATATATTCATCATTGAATGAATTGATTATCAGCATTATACATGATACATGATTCATGGTATGGGTTTGAGTGATTAGTCTGTGACACTTCTGTCCTGACGACAAGGGTTTGAATCACACCATTGACCAATATTTAGCTATGTCATATTACCTTCACCGAATGGTTCAGATCCAACACTAGGCTGTCGGTCCACTTAACTAGAAAACCTCAAAATATGGATATTTCTGACATGGAAAACTTTCTACTTATTGGTGAACTCCTTCTTCTCTTTTAGATAAATCTCCAAAAGCCATTAGTAACAATCAATGTTATAGTTTTAAATGGAGATTAATTTCAACTAGACTTCTTTATTTTTTGAAATAAATCATAAGGTTGACAGTTAGTCTATTTGGTAGGAAAGTAATTCGCAATTTTGTCTAATGGTCAAATTATATGCGGACGGATGGGCACGTTTCCTTTCTGCTAATTGAAAAATTATTTTCTGTCTCTGCAACGATTCATGTGATTCATCAGTGAAACACCGCAAGTGTACTCTCTTGAAGCAATGGAAGATTCAGTGGAGCTGATAAGGTTCAACAAGTAAAAAAAAAATCACTAATCTGTTCCATCTATGTTTCTCAATAGAGCACCTTGTGTCAAGAAGTTCCCTATGTTACAGTCTTTATACCTCGTTTAGTGAAAGACACCTCTTATTAGTTCGCTCAAAACATTCACAATTTCCTAAACATAGCTGATGAATTCCTTAACTGAATTTCCAAATACCATAATGAATTCCTAAAACGCCACCAATCTCCAAAAAAGCTAGTAAGTAATGGTAATGTAATTTAAATGCAAATGATAAATTAAATAAACAGAGGCATATTAGGGAAATTCAACTCAATTCGATGTTCTTCAAGGAGTGTTCAAAATGAGTAAAAGTATCAATTGTCCAATGAAGAGAGAGAGTTTTAGGAGTTTCTTCAGAAAAAGAGGATCTACATTATCATAGTGTATTTTTCTAAAGCTGGGCAAATATTTTCAGATTCCTATTGGAAGATCCTAAAAGTATTCTGTTGTGCAGGTAAGTCAAATGGTGGTAGAACATTGTTGAAAGAAGAGTTCCATATACCATTGCACAATTTCATATCATTGGGAACATTGGTCAATTCAGTTTCATCATGAAGGAATGAAGCCATTTCCTGGATCTTCATCTATCTCACAATCATAGCTGTGGGCTGAGAAGCTAGATTGGTCAAAGTCAAACACATTTTCCAAACAATGTCTATTATACCTTTATCCACACAAATCCTTTCTTTCTGGTGATTGTTCTTTAATATTTCAGCTATAGAAGCAGAGCTAACCAGTTTGCTTATGCCTTCAAGTTGATCGTCTGACTTTTAATATCTCACATCTGATTCCATAGTAAAACTTGGTAAAACCAGGAGGTGGAAGGATGTCCTTTGCAGCTTCTAGTGTCTTGGATTCATAATCAGAATGATATTCTCATGGGTATCATGGTGCAATTCGATTTCCCTGAAAATTATCTTGTTTTGTATGATTCATTGGCATGTGAGCATTATATTGTCTTAAGGCCAAGGGTAGACACTATGGGTTGGTTTTGTTTGCAGGAACGAGAAATTTATGCACTGAGCAAAAGGAGTTCTACTTTATTTCAAGACTACATATTTTATAGTACACTATATTAAGTTGAACAGAGCAACTAGGTAGAAATTGTTTTGATTCAAAGTACATTTTTGTACTGTGAGATATATTTTTATCGATAAACATAAATTCAGAAATGATCACTTTATTTTGAAATCATGAGTTTCTTTGGTTTATTTTGAATTCGATAAAATAAGCAGAACATTTCCTTGGTCTATGTTTGCGGGTAATAGCACAGAATAAAGACCTAACCCAGAACTTGTGCTAAGCCAGAAAAAGTGTTGCGTTTGAATCTGCTAGTGGTGTAGATTTTGCTACACCAGAATCTAGTATCAGGCCGCTTTAGTAAATGGGCGTGGTGGGTCCAAAATCCAGGGGCGCAAGAGGTTTTAGGTTTGTTGGGAGAGCAAGGAAGAGAAAAATTCCCTCGTGTGGAAGGGGGAGGGGGTGCAATCATCTCTAGGGCCCATAGCACGTCACATGCAAACCACAGGCCTGTCTAGAAGCGCTGCTATCACTGGCTGGCCGGCTAGACTAGGTGTAGGGGTAGTAGGACAGAAAATTGACATCACTATGCACCGTATCAGCTGATCATATATACAAATGACACGTATACTTTAAAAAATCACAGCTCTCCTACGTTTTTTTATTTATTCTTTCAATGGTAACACCATTTTTACATTCAAAATATACATTAAATAGGATTAAATCACCTGGCTCATTGAGAGTTCTGTGTTATTTCTTCATTCTGTGGTATTAGTCTGCTCATTCAACCCTCATACTAACCTCAGTTTTACAATGTTTACAGGTATCGTCTCCCCACAGTCCACGCAGTTTGGCATCCTAACCTCACCTTGAATCGTAACTACTTCATGCACAGAGTTCAACACTTTCTCTACCATGTTGTCCCGGCAGTGTTGGTCGATACGGCAGCTTCATTGGTTGGAAAACGTACCAAGTGAGTTGTATCGTATGGACTTTAGATCATTTTTTGGGGTCAGCGATGAACATAAAACCAAGGAAACAACTCTAGTGTAATCGTAAAATGCAGGGTTTTTGTCCTTCTACATAAAAATTAAAACTGCAAATAAAATAATGGGAACAGCTGGTTGACAAATCACATTGTCATCAGGCAACATGGGCGTCTTTTAAAAAGAAATGGACTAATGTGAAAACCCTACGTTTTTCACGGACAAGAGAATTGACCGTAATTTCACTTTGTGGGAAATGGAGATGGGGATAAAGTAGGGTGTAATAAAAAAAATTAAGTAGCAACTGTGATAAGATAACCATGGAGTGGGAAGCGGTTGTTGGGGTTCAACCACCTCGCTGGAGGCTAGAAGCCAGTATTACCAACTGAAAATTCTAGCTCCGTTAGCAGGGTGTTTATTCAGTCCAAGGTGCAAAGATCTGTGTAGTGGATGTTTTGTAGACGTATACTTTTGTAGTCGTCATGGCAACCGTGACCTTGTCCACGCTCTTGCACATTCCTCTATCACTGAAGTCTGATGTGATGGAAGTGGGAGCTCACTTTCGCTCTGAGTCAGTTGACAGTTACAATAACTTTAAGGAATCTTAAATTATATAGTGGTTTAAGTTAAGTTGTTCTCTATTTATTATTAAACTTTTGACGAACTCCACTGCGAGGAATATGAAGACTACTTGACATTCTTCTGACCTGATGATGTGCTCCATTCGAAGCATGAAACAGCTGTAGTCTTACTAACTACAACGGATCATTTTGACAGTAACAAGGTTACTTAAACCACTATATAGTTAATTCAGACGATCCAGAGGCCATTCCACCATGAAATCTTAAATTATTTGTTTCACCTGAATAATAACATCCTGTAGGATTTGTAGTATTGTAAGTCTTTAACAGTTCTAGCTTCACCTCTGAAACACTAATCACCTTTTTTTATTTGGTGTGACCTTAAAGACATTTTAGCATCCCTCAGTCAAGCAACCAAGACTCAATATGAAACAAACATATTGGCATTCCTTACATTGTTGCATTGTCAGCTGTTTTTAACAAAACTGTTCGTCTTTCAGCTTATTGAAGATAACACGGAAAGTGGACCGCTTTGGTGAACTTATCTCATACTTCGCCATGCGACAGTGGACCTTCTCCAACAGCAATGTCCAGGTAAATAAATTAAATTTGCTTGATCAATACCAAAGTTGTATCTTAATGTAAAATTTCATACTATAGTTCGGCCGCTTAGAAAGCGACCTCCTCTAGCATTGGCTAGCATTAGCGCGCAGGTCGCTTTCTAAGCGGCCGAAGTATAATATTATTTGGTTTATACTAAAGATGCGGTGAAAATATAATAGTTGGATAATCATATTTAATAAATTCTCTCTGCAGGCAGGCCTCAATTTGTATATGGGGTTACTGGGCTATTAGCACAGAGCGCTAAAGGATTGAGGGCTCCAAATTTCAAATTTTTTAATTTTTTACAATATTTTTAATTTGTACTGCTGTAATGATTTGACAACAAAGAAAAATAAAACATACGAAACACACAAATTCCAATCAGTATTTTAACCTCTAAATAGCGTAAAAACTTGTTTTCAACTACTTTAATTCAAAAAACTTTTCCGGGCCCGCCTTTCAGATGTGGGGGGGATGAACTAATCAAAACAATATACATAACTGGTACCAAGGTTAAACTAAAAAATAAGACATATTTTCCTCTACAAAATGGGTCAAAATAAAATGTGTTGTTTCTCCGTTAACAAGATATAAGAAATGTATTCTAATAACTTATCCATTCATGCAATTGTGCTGTAAGGTCTATCTTTTTGTTTTTGACTGTGTTTCTATGTACTAGAAATAGAAACACACAAACAAATTCACAAAATGATGACTGATGGCAAATTAAACAGTCTTTCAAACAGAACAGCTCCTATATTGTTTTTTTTTACTCTTTTTCCTTTTGTTAATGAATTAGGCTACTTTACGGTAGGCTCTTTTAAATATATTACATATGTATATGTATATTTAAATATATGTATATGATTATACACCGATTATGTACACAGATTTATTTTGGACACATTGAGCAGTATAAAATTTTAAAATCTTTGTAAATTTTAAAAACTTAGTCTTTTTTAAACCCCCTTCTGCGTCTCCCAGACCCTCTGTGGGATCCCATGATGGTTTAAGTTAAAATTTATTTATTGCAGGATATGTGGGGTGCTCTCTCAGCCAAGGACCAAGAGACTTTTCCGTTCTCTTTCCAAGGTCACGACTGGACCGAATACTTCAAGATATACATGAGAGGCACAAGGCTGTACCTTCTGAAGGATGACTTATCTACGATGTCCAGAGCGGAAACAAGGACTAACAGGTAGGACTATGCATTGTGATCCTTCCTTATCTAATATCCTTATATTCTGAAAAATCCAGAAAGTCCTCAATAGCATTACTAGTAGGAATGTAAAGTTATGAACATGCAGACAATTTATGTAAAATACACCATTTTGTGCATAAAGCGTTACTAGTTCTTCTAAATTAATCTTATCCTGTCAGGTCATAAGGACCCGCAGATTTTTTGTGTCATGGAGGGGGGGGGGGGCTTGTAGTAACAAATTTCAGGTGATTCAACCATCGTTTACATATTTTATATCTGTACTTGTTGCAAATAAAAATGCTCAATTGTCGACAGATTTGTCGGAAATTTTGTATCAAATCATGACAAGCATTTCAGTACATTCAGAGAAATCATAATTTTGCATTGTTTTATTTTAATTTATAGTATAATATTAAAGAAATTTCATTACTATTAAGCTCCCTAGTCCCATTTATTGTGAACTTAAGTCAAGCAGCAGTAATAAAGGGGCTGCGGCACCAGTGAACGAGACCCGGCTTAGGACTCGGGCCCCACCCTTGTTAACCTGTCCATGACTATAGTTTATATTTGCTGCTTATCATGATAATTGTTGTAATTCTAGTTGGATATATTTTTTTGTATCACAGATTCTTCTGGCTACACCAAACTCTAAAGGCTGTACTTCTCTACCTGTTTGCCAAACTGATGTGGAATGCAGCCGGGGCTCGACTCGTCAAATTCATCTACTCCTTGATAGTACGAGCTCCAGGTCTACCAGGCCTCCCCCTCAGATGAAGGGAACTGTGATGTTGACGTGTGCAAACGTGTATATTCACACAAGATCAAAACTGTGTGAAGCCGAACATTTTTATACTTTTGAAAAATATAATTTACTTTTGAAAAACTCACACCATAAAAATATTTAATATTTAAGTTATTCGGAAAGAATATTCTAAAGTATTAGAAGCTCCTACCTCATCACATTAATGTGTAACCCTTATGTGTGTAAATAGAAACACACACAACTGTTTCTGGTTTTTTAATACGTGTTTTCAATTTTTAATTTTTCTTTAATTTCCAGTTAAAAGTAACCAATACTCCCTTCTTAGAAAATAAGACTTTTTAAACTTAATTTTGTATTCATCACGTTATTAATAATGTGATAACTTAATGTATTCAGTTTCATATACTTGACTCTGTGATATAACAGTTTATTCTTATATGCTACACTCTCTTGGTAAAAACATTGTTATCATTATAAGCCATATGTCAAATCAAAGCGTTATTTTATGTTTATGATCTGTTTTATTTTTTTACTTAAAGTAACTCAAATGCTAGTGAATGGCGTAGCTGAAGCAAACAATCCAAAAGATTGCTGAAGTTTCCACTAGAACTTAGTACCTTCCTGATTAAAATTTGTCTAGAAATCTGTATAAGCTATATTGAATCAAATACAAAGCATAACCATTTATACTTGTTTATTCCAGTTTTTGATACGATCAAAATTGCTTTAAAAGCAAATATTTATTTTGTTTAATCATTGTTTTAATATGTATATATAAGTCGCACAATTGTGATGTTTGTAAGTTATTTAACTTTATTAAAGTGTATTATTTATTAAGAAAAGCTGTTTTATTAGTTGATAACCATTTATAAAAGTTTTTATCAGAAAACTCTTTATCAAAGCTTGCTTAATGTTTATTACTTCTAGAGGATTTTTACGACTTTGTCTCTCTTAAGCCGTGTTTACACCAAAGTTGACAACCAAAAGTTGACAGCGGGAGGTCTTACTTCGAGTTTCATGACGTTTTAAGCATATTTTTTAGATTTTCGATTGCTTTTCATGTTTAAAATCCCTCTTAATCTGTGTTTCCACGGGAAAAGAATTCAAAATAATGCATTTCAGCTTGTCATCATGCTTTCCTGAGCCACTCCTGTAGTGAGGATGGGGTTACCACCTGTCGTAAAGTGAGGACTGTTCACACGACCCACGCTTTATAGTCTATCTTTTGGTAGTTTACCACAGAAAATCAATGCTGGCAGAGTGTATTGTTGAGAATTGTACAGTTATAAGTTCAGTTGTTAGTCAAAATTTAGTCGTCAAGTTAAGACAGTCAGATGAACAGTCATTATTAGAAAATGGAGGAAAAGGTGTTTTTTGGTAAGACAGTGAATACTTGAAAGGTATGCAGAGGTGCACCGGTTGATTGCATCGTACGGTGATCGTTCAGCAGCGTACAACTCCAGGAACTTCAGAGTTTCATTGTCTTGCAATTTAATTGCACGTGTTCCCGATGGCTCCTTATAGCACACTTAAACTCTTAACAAACACACCAAATACCACAAGAAACAAACAAAACGCCAGCCTGAAATGCAAAATTTCAAGCTCTGTTGAGTATTGTTCACAACTGAAAATCAAACTATTACGATCCAAAGTGTGGCCAGTTGTGAACTCTCCTTACGCCTGGTGACGTCAGAGGCTAACTCACGACCCGTCGTTCCCACGGAGCATATTCCACGAATGTGTAGTTCACTACTTCGTCCCGTGCCTCGTGGGAACTTGGCTTTAGATTCTCGCCGCTCTGTTGTTTTATCTTACAAGAATAAAAACTTAACCAATGAACAGCAAGTAGATTAATTTACCCTTGTAACCTAACTACTTTGCTCAGCATAAACACAGCTAATGGGATATTCCCTAGTCTTAGAAAACTTTACAGCTATTCTCCAGCCTAACCTCTCTAGACTACAATGGTGATATTTCATAGACTTCATAAAACATTTTTGTCTGGTGATATTCAGGAAGAACATAGCTAATCAATTTTGTTTTAACACAACTTTAGAATAGGAAGAAATCTATTAAATTTGCAGAGTGGTAAAAATCAATGCATTTATTTCAAGCATAACAGTATGCAAGCATTTTATTAGTTGAAATTTTGCAGTAGATATGTCTTTTTATAATATCACTTTCAATTTCAACAAAATCACATAACTACACTAATATCAAATTACAACACTGCTTTGGCTAATAATGTTGGTATGCCAACAAAAAGAAAGTTTGACATTTGAAAAATACCAATTATACTCTATTTCCACAAATATCTAAGATATTGCAATTCTATGCTGAAGTTACGCAAACCAATGTATAAGTATTGCAAATTTTTTTTTTCAAATTAAATGGTTAACATGTCACCTACAAATATTTTGTGATAAATAATAATTATCGGAACATTTTACAAAATATAAAATGAAGTCTCACACATAAAATCAACGAATCTTTAAAACTAAGATCTCTTTAGAATAACATTTTCTTCAAACACTCAATATATTCATTTTAGTTTATAACGTAACATAACAATAACAACACTGGCAGCCAGTGACTACTAGTTATTCAAGAACAAGTCAAAGCTAGATAAATTCGATGTCTAAAAACAGCTCAATAGGGTAAGCATAAAAATGTATACAAGCCACAAAACGGTTTGGGGTATTCTAGACAGAATGAAGTGTAATACTGTAAACTTACAAGTGTGAGTAACAATCCTCTTTACCGCTAACCCGACAACAAACTACTCCGACTACGAAAATACCTTCAGCCCGTTGGCAACTGTCAAATTTCATACAATATAGGGAGGAAACTGTGAATAATGTTAAAAAATTTATTTTAACTTGAAAACTTATTAAATATTCTGGAAAAGCTGTAAAACAGTTGTTTGCTAATAAAGTAATGAAAATAAACAGCAATAGATGTGAAAGTGAACATCTAATTCTGCACATTAAAAACATTCTATGATGGGAGTTTGTACACTTGAAATTATTTACTCAGATATATATCTTATGCCTCAATAGCAAAACAGATGAGAGTAATTTGAAAGTATGATGTAAACAAATTATTTTGAACTAGTTAAATATAATTATTTATTTTATTGTTTCTGTTTGAAATCTTTACTAAGTTTTTCTCAAGCGGATTAGCACATTTCATCTATTTAATTTTAAGAGTATAGAATATGAACAAAATCATCAGCTGTTACCTCAACTCTGAAGTCTATCCATGGATGTTTATGATTCTCAACTTCCACCACCCTCTGTATGTACCAACATACAACTTGTACGTTTCTTATACAACCACCAAGAACTGACTTAGTATTGAACTTCATCCAACACTATTCAATACAGTTAACATTTAGTAATAAGAAATTTAATTTTTTTCCTGCCCGGAGTATGGTTGGATTTATGTATTTTTAATCAATAATGCAAATTTTTATAAAACCGTAATATTTATAACCAATTTGTAAGAAAAAAGTCTATGTTAGCAATTCTAAATTGTAGAATTAAAAAATATACGTCAAACTAATTTAGCATTACAGTACCCATTAGTATGTTGTTTTGACTGTAAAATATTATACTCAACAGTTTACTGACAGTTTAGTGTTAGTTGCTAACAGGCCAAAGGTTTACACGTACATAAGTTAGATTAAACATTGCGTAAGCTAACGCTAACATGGCTTAACCATCGTGTGTAGCTGCTGCATGGGAATCAACTTTATTGTAGACTTATTGTTATTACACTTAATTATATATTCACAACAAATTTTCAAAAACATCAAAGCATATATTGGTAACATGGCAGTGGCTGCTATATACAAACACTTATAATAAGTTGTTTAAAATCTGCAGTAAATGTATTACCAATGGTAAAACTCTAGTCTTCTATTGGGTCTAAAAACCTTGATAAAATTAAAAGTATCTCTTTAGTTAGAATTTACATTGTAAAAAATAACTCTTTTGAAAATGTATTCTTCATAAACGAGATACACCGCATCATGTTTTGTGAGCTACGTTACTTAAATAGGACGAGATTAAAATGTGTTCTAGATATTGTACATCTTATACCTCAGGATCGCAAACACAGGAAATTAAGCCTAAACAAAATAAAATAAACAGACACAAATTTATTAATACAACTGAAAAAATGGGAATGTGCTTCAATTCTCCATACAAAAGAACTATATATAATACGTTCTACACGAATGTGACGACTAACAATAGACTACTACTAGCCTACTATCGTACGTTTTAAAGATTTACAATATAAGAAATAAAACTTAACAATTCACAATCATCTATACTAAATTTAGGCTATTGTCGATAAAGGAATGCTAAAATAAACCATAGACTGATTGGTTAATCCACAAACCATGGAATGCTATAACTGGACTGGTTAAAATACTGTTAGGTATTTTATTTTTGCTTGTTTCAACACGTTTTGATCTATTATACCAATCAAAATTCACGAACTATGACTAAAAACTAAGAGTAAAGCTTAGACTCAAAGGTCTACATAGTATGATATATTTTGTTTATTTAAAAAATTCATATCATATGGAACTTTTACCATGGAACCAAAAATACGCTTGAAGTTTCTCCTGTTATGAAGTAAAATCTAGTGAGTAAACAAATTGTAGGTAATCACAACAACTCGACTAGAGCAAAATCTCATTCAAGTGGTTCGGTAAACAATCGAGACGTACAAAAAACACGTACATTAATGCTTGAGATTCGATGTATTAGTAAGGTGGTCCCTGGACTTTTCACCTTTAGACTTTTCAACAGAATAACTCGCAACAGTTCTACGATTAGCATTTGAGCAAATAAATCTATAACAATCCAAATAATGTAACAAAATAAATTTATGGCTCATTCGTAACATATTAAACCTATAAACCAGTCCAGCGAATAAAGCGAGTGATGATAACAAACTATAAATATCACATTTAGTCGTAGCTCTCTGACTCCTGTTGGACTAGTTTGAAGCGACGAGGGCTTTTGACACAACTGGAGCCCGAGTAGTCGTCCAGGGAGATTCTGCCCTTCATCTGCAGATAGCGCTTTATGTAGCGAGACACAAGCTTCTGAGGCCTCATTTGCCATTCGTCCAAAACCTCCTTCGGAGCGTGGATCTGTGGAAAACAAAGCTCTGTTAGTGTTTAATGTCCATAACAGTGGAACAGCTTTCACGTGTTCCCTTGTGCAGTTTTGGTGGTCCTCGCCAAGAGGCTGAAACCATTTGCTGAATGCAACAAATAGCTCATCCAAGGTTAACACATAGTGAACATGAAGTTCTAGCTGTACAAAAATTAAAATACAAATTCCTAGAGCTGACCCTTTTGCTCAACACTGACTGGACACCCTAAAGAATACAAAATTTACAAAGCTTAGAAAAAAAATAGATTGGACGATATAATTTCAAACAAACTACAGTACAAGTCACAATTTATATTCAATGGCATTTTAAAGCAGGAGAGGAAACCAAAGCCGTTGTACAAAGTTCAGCTGAAAACGCCGGGAACGACATAGGAACCCTCAAGTCGGCATCTTGCTCGAACCGTGACAATGTCAACCAGTACCATGTGTGCGACAAGCCTGTTCGTTTTTGTAATTTTTGTAAATATTTGTGTGTGTTATATGTTTATAGTTTTGACGACACTGCTTCAGGCAAGATCTACATGTTTGATGATGGTAATGCGATGCCGAAACGGCCATATAACAACAGTAACAACTTTTGAGCTGATTGACGAAGATAAAGCATACTTTTGAATTAAAATACTTTTTACACTCGCATAGAGTATACTGTGACAATTACATATTTTATGCATTCTGATACTTGATCTCTAAACTTATTAATACTACTGTGTGCAGATTCTCAGAGTAGTTAATATTTTCAATGTGAAAGTAAAAATAGAAAGAAACAATAAAGGCTAAAAGGTAAAAGTAAAATCATGTAAGAGACAGCCAAGAGATTTTCCAAAAGTAAAACATTTTGTTTTAAAAGTACTCTCTTGTGGACTAGATAAGAAACCTGCTAGAATCATTTGTTATTTTGGTTGTTTTTCTCTTTCATCCTAAAGTTCCTCCATTTTACCTGATCGCCCTTGAGACGGTCTATGATTGCCACACAAATAACGGCCGACTTGATGCCTGCGTGATGAGTCAGCGCCGCAAACGCCAGTGACTCCATCTCAATGTTGACGACTCCGTGGCGCTGCAGTTTCTGCAAGTACTCCATCTTCTCCGGCTCAGAGAAGTCGCAGAAAGCTCCATCCAGCCGACCCTGACCTACAAAAAAATTACTTTCAAACGTTGTACCTTTTTTTAATTTATAAGAATAAAACATCTGAAGTGGAATAGTTAAAAATGTTTTGTGAGGCAACTTATACGAAGCTCTATTGCATTAGTTAAATGTAAAACAAAACAGATGTAGTCAGTGCCTTTGAAAACCAGGTTTATAATTTCATTTTTCAAAGGTTTGAAATTGACACGAGGAGGGAAAAAGGTTTCCACACAATATGAATTCTACAACGTTCTATGTGTTGATTAATCCCATTGAAGGAATTTCAAGATTCGCCTATCAAAATGTTGTTAATCCAAGTCAGAAATATTTTATAACAAATAATAAATGAAAACAAAAGATGACAATAAAATTCCCAAATTGCTGACAGATGTACCCTGATAAATATTCTTATTGCAGATAAACCGTAGAGAGATAAAATCGCAAATCAATAAACAACTCCCAAAAATATTCATTTCAGGTTCAAACCTCATTGCAACGAGTGTAATACATACAGTGTTTGTTTGAATAAAATGTCGTTAAAGTCATTTATAGCAATAGTATCAGCTATAGTGTTGCTTTCAGTGGTTTTAATATGTTTGTATTTTGGGATCGGCCTCTGGTTTGTACAGGATGTGCCACTTACTGCTTCAGTCTTGACTTCACCTTCAACTATGTATAGCAGTTTTACAAGTGAGTCTGATTACAAAACTACGCCAGGAACAAAAACAGTGTTTAACTTTAGTGTAACAGTAACAAACTTCAACAGTAAAATTACAGAAAATGTCAAGTTTACTTCAGGTAACTATAATGATGATCATTCAGAGTCAACTAATATGATTATGAATTCAACGTCAGTTCCAAATTCAATAGAGGCACAGACTATAAACTCATCTTTTACAACTTCAGTCAACAAAGAGCAACAATCTCCAAACCCACCAGGTGTCACAGCAACAAAAGAGAAACTAACCACAAATCCATCATCAGTCACAACAACAAAAGAGAAACTAACCACAAATCCATCTTCATTCACATCAACAAAAGAGAAACAAACCACAAATCCAACATCAGCCACAGCAACAAAAGAGAAACTAACACGAAACCCATCATCAGTCACAGCAACAACAGAGAAACTAACCATAAATCCATCATCAGTCACAACAACAAAAGAGCAACAATCCACAAATCCATCATCGGCTGCAACTAAAAAAGAACAGAGATTTACAAACTCTAATGAGCCACAAGCTATGATCTCATCGCCTTACACCAGAGACGTTTGGTCAGATCCACAATCCATGAATATATCATCTTTTACTAGTTCCTCAAACCTACAATTTGTGAGTACATTATCTTTTGATTCAGATTCTCAATCCGCGAATACATCATATTTTACGATTACATCACAACCTGAGAATACAACAAATTTTACTACTATTTCTGATCCACAACCCATGAGTACATCATATTTTACCAGTACTTCAAATCAACAATTCAAGAATAAATCGTTGGGTATCAGCACTACAGAATCACAATCTGTGGATACATCATATTTTACTAGTTCAACAATACACCAATCAACAAATCCATCTCTTTTCTCTAACTCAATTGAATCACAATTGACATCATCATTCTTATTTTCCACAAGTTCAACACAAACAGAAACTGCAGATAAAATATCCACCAGTGCAAGAGTTATACAAACAACAAATAATGAACTATTAACAGAACTACATACTACACATCAAGAAATAACTCCAAAAGAACTACTTACTACAAGTCGAGAAACAACTCCAAAAGAACTACTTACTACACGTCAAGAAACAACTCCAAAAGAACTACTTACTACACGTCAAGAAACAACCCCAACAAGTACAACTGAGCGATCTACAAGTCAGAGAACTTCTACCATGACAACTTCCACATCTACATCATATCAATTCTTAGTAACTATCTTCAGCAGAAACAGTTGGTATCCAGCCTACCCGACATTTACATGCAAAGTGTCACTGGCAAATACAGTGTTGACAGTGTACATTAGACAGACCTTGAAATTAAACTGCAACAATGTAGGAGACTGCACACAGAGACTGAAGGAGTTGACTAAGGATAAATCAGGAAATAATGTGAATATTAACTATAACTTTGTGATCGGAGGGGATGGATATGTGTATGAAGGCAGAGGATGGGAATGTAGGACAGATCCTCTTACTAGCAGTTACAGCCTGGGATCAGACGAGTTAGTGATTGGTATCACTGGTAATGCGAGGAACGGAGACATCACTGACATGCAGATAAAAACCTTGCGAATGTTCCTCTACGAATGTTCCCAACTAGGATACTATAAAAAGGTCACGGGACTTTATATTTTAAAGTCTTTCTACAGACAGTCAACCAGTTGCTATTGTCCTTTTCCTGAAGATAATTCCGACAATTGTAAGTCGTGTGTTTTACAACGTTAAATATTACTTTTAATTATTCTTCATTAAAATATATATAGTAATCAAGTTGTGTTTAAGAAAAATTATAAATGTTGCTTACGACCAATTTTAATTTTTTTTATACTGTACTGTAGCTAATGGGGTATAAAAATATATGGCATCATGTCAATGTATAGAAGAATAGCAAATAACTAAAACATACCACAGATCTCATACAGTTTTTATGATTAATATCAATTAAGTATTAGAAAGCATTCAAATTTCCTAAAAGGTCTCAAAACATATGTTTCCGTTTAATGAAGTCACACAAGGAACATGTGTTGGGTATATGCAGTGGCAGTTCTAGGACCTTGTCAAGGGGGGGGCTTCTGTGGGGTTCGGGGGTCCTCCTCCAGATAATTTGGTATTTTTAAAGCCATTTGGTGACTTTCTTGAGCCGTTTTTAACATCTATAACTGTGTCAAAAACATCCGTTAAGTTTTTAGCACAAACTATGTGTTTAAATATATTTTTCCTGGGTCCAATGAGAGGGGGGCTTTAGCCCCTGTAACCCCCCCTCCCCCCTCCCTATAACTGCCACTGGGTACAATTGCCTTGAGTGTTTTAAGGCACATGTAAAGGCATCAGTGGGATTTATTGCAAATATTGCTGTGTAAATGGAAACATATCTAAAAGAAGTTTAGGTTACGCTCCAATCCAGCTCTTATCTGAAAAGTGAGGTTATGTAATGTGTAATATCTCTGTGTTTTTTATCAACCAAACTTAGTTTCTATAATGTATAATTACCTTCGTAGAAGTCAGTAGTGCACATGGTCTTGCCGACAACAGTGTCGTAAGGATCCTCGTTGCTACGTAAGGCCAACATCTCTTTGATCAGTTTCTTGTCCAGCTTGGCCGGCCTTCGAACAACATTTCCCAAGACTGGCTGAAAAATAAGATGTTTTATTAGTAATTACAACAAATCTTAGGTTCTTACAATAAGATCTTTAAAGTTATGTATAGCCCAGTCTTGAATGTAAAGGAAGTTTTTCTTGGTATATTCAAGACTATACTTCAAGACGATACACTAGATGACGAAATGCACTTTTTTTCTAAAATAAATTGATATTTCCTATAATAATCATACAACCATAAAAACCATGAATATTAAAGAAACCTTTATTTTATTTTTTAATTTTAGCCAGAAGTCAGCGGACTTTCAATCTATAACTTATAGGTAGTATGATGTCTTTTGGGGTGCCAAACAGTGGAGTATATATTATGGTGACACTTTTAATATTTTATAGGTAGTATGATGTATTAAATATACACATCGTATATATATTTTAACTGGTAGTATGAACTGGTAGCAGTATTGAAGAGGTAAAACTTATCGCCATCGAAGATTTTAAGTGGTGAGAAAATGTTTACACCAAAATATAATAAAAATAAACATCCCTGGTCGCAAGTATAGTAAATTTAAACTATAACTTTCTTTGTGTAATATTCCAAGATTTTCTTACCAGTTCAAAGTAAGGATTCAGCATGCCATCGACAGCTTCTTCTGATATGATGACAGTTCCTCCCTCGATGCCAATGCCACCGCTTGTGCCGATTCTGAAGAAGATCGGGTCTCGAACTCGAGCGTGGTACATCAGCTTGATCACTTCATGCAGCAAAATCCCTACTGAAGGGATGCCCATTCCGTGCTGAACAAAAAATATAAATTTTTCTTTGCTATATTTACTGATTGAAATTTCTAAATAAACCTTGGTTAACAAATAACAATTGTCAACCCAAATACCTTCTCTCCTTTATAAATCGGTAAGACACATTTAATAATCTTTGTATGATGACACTGTTTTGTAATGTCTTATGGAACCTAGAATTATGATTGAAGATTTTTATTGTAGTTTTGCAGTAAAACTGTTGATTAGTTTTAGTTAATTTAGTCAATGAATCAGTCTTGGAGAGCTTGTGGGGGAAACACTGACAGTGGTGTACGAGCACAAAACCTCTTTGAGATCCTTAAGAGTTATTTATTATTATTTGTTTATGTCCTACTTTCACATCCTAGGACGTTAGGCTCTAGCCTGAGGCCGTTTTACACATTACTTTAGGCTAAGCTTTGAGGTTAGTGTCATTTTCACATAGCTAAATTCCATTGGTGATTGGCTGGATTTGACCCTGAGACCTCAGGGACCGAATACCTGTACTCCCCTGATCTGTATTGGGAGGAAGAGTGTTGCAAATACTTTCAAGACTATTAATACTTTCCCTATATGTATGCACAGAATAGATTTTCACAGTTCATTGATTTGCCTCAACTCATATCACTACGTATCGGGTTTACACAAGTTTTGGTACTCACACTGATGGAGAGAACAGGCCCCACTTTGTACATGGAGTATCTGTACGAGAACTGACTGATATCGAGCAGAGTGGTGCCCGCGGGTAGCTTGTGGCCGATCTCGTCCATGATGAAGTAGGCAAACTGCTCAACGCGCTTCGGAGTTCCGCCCATGCACACAAACTACGACAATGCACATAAGATTAGCTGTCAGCTCAAAAGACAGGCTTTGATCCAGGAAGTAAAGAGTAAAATTTCAAATTTACACAAAGCGAATTTCCAAATTAAGTTTCCGCGATATAAGATTGTGGCATTTGAGAGTTATTTGATGCATTCAGGAATATGATCTTTCTAAAACTTGCCAAGTATCATTCCAGTTAACTACAGTGTCAAGTATGTACGAGGAATATTCAGAAAGTAAGTCACATTTGGGAATGAAATAAAAAGTTTTACAAAAGAATCTATTAAATAAATCTGAAAGAGTAACTAAAATACCCAGGTTGAGGGAAAATCTCCCATTTGAATGAAGGTGATCTCGAGCGCCACTAAGATTTGCTGTGTGGGGTTGAGCATTGTCATACAAAAACCATTTTGACACTAGTCATAGTCAAGAATCTTTATTCATAAGTATACATGTTTGTACATGAATAGTGTCAAAGTGAATACACCATTTCTGGACAGAACTTTAACTTTCATTTATTTATGATGTTTCAACAATTGACGGTACATTTCTCCTAAAGGGGTGTATGCCGCTTGACAGTCACTGAGAGGGAAAAATATCTGTACTTAAAGTGCACAGTTTGCATGTGTCTTTCAACATCACAAGCAAACGTTCCTTACTTTCTGAATCCTCCTCATACCTGCCGTGCATGGACAGTTGAGAATTATTAGAGGTAAAGAGAACTGAATGCCAAAGGGTGGGGATTACAAAACTCACCCATTAGCCCACCCATCTATTACTATCCAATTACATCAGCTCTTAATAGCCAACAACCTTATTCACAAACATAACCAGTTAGATAACAGAAGCTTCTGTTGTTGTCTAGTGATCTCAGTGGAAAGTTAGAAGTAATCCGGTAGAGAGTTGGTGAGTCTGTGGGTTCGCGCCCCAGTGTTGCTAAAGAAAATTATGAGTTAACTCTTGTACTGTATCAGCTCACCCCTTATTCTGTTTCGTCGTTACTTTGAGGCAAGTGTTGAAGGGCAAATGCAAGGTTGAAAGAGGCTGTAATTTTTTTTAATAAAATTATCTACCTGCTCATTGGTATTGTTTGACATGTTTATTGTCGGGATCACATAAGTTTGCAGTTGAGGGAGGAGCCTATTTACCATATGGTTTTGAATGAACCAATGAGAACGGTGCTGTGTTGCCAAATCTAATAATACCAGCTGATTTGAAAGTATTGCTTTTATATTTTAATTAGTGTTGTCAATGGGTGATGTGGCAACGTCGCGCTAGCCTTGTCTTGTGATTGGCTGCCACCAACTGCAAACTTACGTGGTCCCGACAATAGTCAATTATTGCTTTGGTTTTTTACCATCATAGGTTTAAGATGTCTTATAGCGACCAGAAGACATGATCAGGATTCAAATTCATCTTGGTTGTCAGTTTTTATGTACAACAGAAAAATCACCTGCTCGGAATGGGTTAATAAACAGTGCATATAATGGGTAAGGTAAGAATGAGATCAATAAATTTTAATACAACAACGCACACTTGTGGTTAGTTAAGACTACTTGTTATTTTTTATTAATACGTATTGATTCTCTACAGAAGACATCAGAATCAAATGCCTTTAATAAGGCAAGAAAGGCTCGTTTATCTTGGATTACAAATTGTTTCCGAAAAACCAACATTGCTTACTGCATGGATATGAACAAACTCAGGATTTAATAACAATACATTTTTAATGGAAAAATACCTAAAACTACATACAACCACGGCATAACACCTTCTACATTTTATTTGATGATTTGAAAAAATATCAATATTTACCACGATTCTTCAGTTTTTGTTTTGTAGCTTAAGACATGAGCACATTTTATTGTGCTGTCCAGAATCCTAGGATCTTAACCAAAGTGTAAATAATTTAGTCTAAGAAGACCCTGAGATGTCTTACCATTTGGCAAAATGTGTAAGGAGCTAAAAATCAAGGACAGAGACAATCATGAAGGTCAATTGATTACTATTGCTCTTGAAACTGGTCTACAAATAATTCATGAAGTAAGTTAATATCACCTGATTTCAATATCCAAGTTATACTTGGGCTCATAATCAGACAAGGAGTATAAATCCATCCATTAGGAAAAACGTTAATTTAAAAAAGCTAAAAACATAACAATTTAAATGCATATAAAATACTACTTTAATACAGTTTATAACATTTTTTTAACCATAGTATTTAGTTTATTGTAAATAAGTATCTACGCATCAATATATAATTAATAACAAGCTGCTTTACCCGTGCTTTGCAACAGGAAGAGGGCGCAAAAGAGAATAATGCCGTTTGAAATAGTTACGCATCAATATTCATCTTCAAAACCAAACCAATTAGTGTTATAATATTAATTTCTTTCAATTCAGTAGGGGTTTTAAATTTCCTAGGCAACCTAGTACCTATGGTGCTTAAGTTGTACTGATGCTTCATACAAGAACTTGGTTATTTAAACTCCAAATTGACGTTTGAATTGTTTAGTTATCTTGAAAAGTCCCGATGACCATTTAAAATCCCGACAATCTTCATTTAATTTTTTTGGATACCCTGTACAATGAATTTTTAATATTTACCTTAACATCTCCAAACATAGAGACAAGATCATGGGAACCACTGCCTAGAGCCAAGTGGTAAAGGATGTCTTGGTCCATGAGCTCGATGTTAGGGTTGCGCAGACGAACTGAACCATCAGGGTATCTGAAACATTTAGAAATCCATCATCCATCAGAACATTGATGAGATCATGGGAACCACTGCCGAGGGCCAAATTGTAAAGGATGTCTTTGGTCCTTGAGCTCGATGTTAGGGTTGCGCAGACAAACTGAGCCATCAGGGTATCTGAAACATTAAGATCCATCATCCACCAGAACATTGATGAGATCATGGGAACCACTGCCTAGAGCCAAGTGATAAAGGATGTCTTGGTCCATGAGCTCGATGTTAGGGTTGCGCAGACGAACTGAACCATCAGGGTATCTGAAACATTTAGAAATCCATCATCCATCAGAACATTGATGAGATCATGGGAACCACTGCCGAGGGCCAAGTGGTAAAAGATGTCTTTGGTCCATGAGCTCGATGTTAGGGTTGCGCAAACGAACTGAGCCATCAGGGTATCTGAAACATTTATAAATCCATCATTCATCAGAACACTGTCGAGATCATGGGAACCACTGCCGAGGGCCAAATTGTAAAGGATGTCTTTGGTCCTTGAGCTCGATGTTAGGGTTGCGCAGACAAACTGAGCCATCAGGGTATCTGAAACATTAAGATCCATCATCCACCAGAACATTGATGAGATCATGGGAACCACTGCCGAGGGCCAAGTGGTAAAAGATGTCTTTGGTCCATGAGCTCGATGTTAGGGTTGCGCAGACGAACTGAACCATCAGGGTATCTGAAACATTTAGAAATCCATCATCCATCAGAACATTGATGAGATCATGGGAACCACTGCCGAGGGCCAAATTGTAAAGGATGTCTTTGGTCCTTGAGCTCGATGTTAGGGTTACGCAGACAAACTGAGCCATCAGGGTATCTGAAACATTAAGATCCATCATCCACCAGAACATTGATGAGATCATGGGAACCACTGCCTAGAGCCAAGTGGTAAAGGATGTCTTGGTCCATGAGCTCGATGTTAGGGTTGCGCAGACGAACTGAACCATCAGGGTATCTGAAACATTTAGGAATCCATCATCCATCAGAACATTGACGAGATCAAGAAGCAACCAGATGGAGGTAAACCACTATAATCTAAATAATATGATTTCAGTATAGATAAACTGGACATATGTTAAAACAGAAACTTCTAGTACACTGGCAAAAACCTTTCAAATTGTTGTTATATACCATTGGACTATTCCTAATTGAATGTTCTCAATATTAATGTAGTAATTTAAGTTTTTAATATAATTTAATACATACATTTTATTCTTTCATAATTTGTGTTAACATAATACAATTACATTTTAACGTATTTCCATACAAGGTAAATTTTTTAAAAGTGTGGGTATTTTATGTAAATAAACCGCAGTTTTATTATGAATATTATTAGAGTTGTTCTAGAATACTGATATGTATCAGAAAAACACTGGCTGGTAAAGAAATTTTTGTTTGTTTTGTTTTTTATCCATTAACATTCTTTGTTTTTTCTTTACAAACTCTTTAAAATGTTGTAATAAAAACTATAGGCCTAAAATTTTTATCGAAACACTACTCAAAACTATGACAAATGTTACCACTTTTGAACAAAACAGTATAACGTTCTTCAGTAGCTAATAAATTTAGGTAAAGTAAATTGTTAAAAACCCAAACACAAAAAGGAAAACTTCAATAGTAAATATAAAAAATAACAATATTTTACTACAAAAGACTAAATCGCTAATATAAATCAAGTGATTTAAATTTGATCACCTGGTACCTTCCTTGCACTTGTGAATCTGATTAGCGTTACAATTTTCACAACGATTGTGTTTCCTCTCAGAAAAATTAGTTCTTGAATTTATATCGATTTCCTGTAACTTAACTCTGATTCTAGAATCCATTGTGAGCTCGGCAGCTAACCCGATCAGGGAAAATCTGGTATACAAACTGACTTGAATAAAATTATGGATTCCTTCTTAGTGAATGAAATATCAATGAGGGTCACTCGATAAGAGGAATTGATGACTTAAAGGTCAGTGAGTGAGGTAATAATATATCATGAGCCTGGTTAGTGGAATGATGTAAATAAACATTCTGCGTATCACAATAACAGCTGACTTTTGAAACAAAAATAATTATTTTCCATGTGTAGTATACAACGAAAGCAATGTGAGGCAAACATTGTTTTGTAAAATCATATGTTTCTAAGAATGATTTGGAATCACTTTAAATTTTGGATTTTCATCATCATTATCAACTAGAACCATATGTCCCTGAAAATAGCCAAATTCCAAAAAATTGTTCAATGGATAAAAGAAAGTAAAGAGAAAATCATCAATACTTTTTTCAAACTCTTTTTGTAAACCAGTTATTACCATTTTGTATTTTCATAAACATTTTTATCTTCGATTATTCCAACCAATCATATGAAACTTGGTACGTATGTTAAGGTAGAGGAAACTTATACTGTATAAGAAAAATAAACTGTATCAGCAATCTGACTCATACTTTCTCCCCTTAGCAAGTCAACAACCTTTAACATGGATAAGCGGTGAGAGTAAATATGACATTTTATATCAAAATAAATAAATAATAAATAGTAATGCCTTTTATTAGCGCTCAGAAGTACAAACTGTTTTATATGATGACTCTTGTCAATTAACTTATGCGAAATAATGACCAAAACAAAATACTGATCAACCGCCTATAGACAACATTTTAGCTATCTACAATTATATTAGATACGTTTTATTTATAGATAGATTTATTTATAAAGAAAATCTATTTATTATTTAGCTGAGAAAATTTATTTATAACTGGAACGTAAATAAAAATACTTTTACTTAAAAAATGACCTAACTAAGCCAGTCAGATTTTAGTACAAACTTGCGCAAATCGTAACACGATGAAGTGGCTGTTTCGCCTGAAACGCCTTGCCACGGGCAGATGCAATATGGAGGCATGAGTGTGTGTAAGTTGCATTGGGTAACTTGAGGTCTATAACCATTTGCGGTAATCTTTATACAGAGTGTCCCTGAACTCTCTTAGGTATCATTTCTAAACCAAAGACATACTAAAAATTTCACTTAAAAATTCCAAAACTAATGAGTTTTTTCCACAAGTATTTGTACAGACGCCATTTTGTTTTTTACAAAACAATTTTTGGTAAATCAAAAGATTTATAGTATTCTTTGGAGTCTAAAATACATTAAGGTAATTAGATTTTAATCTTTTTTTATTTAATTTTGTTGATTATTATACGTTATACTATTACCCGGAAGGGTAACCTTTCAGGCTTCAAAAGAGGTCCCAGGAGCAAAATTGTTAAGGGGTTGAACTTTTATTGCACTAACAAAACACATACAGTATAATAATAGTAATATTATTACAGCTAGTTTACATCACAACCATTTTTTCAGGTTAACACATTTTAGGACTCATTTAATCCCCACAGTGAAATGTTTTGGTCCTAATTAAATCAAAAAACTTAAGACCTTCTTAAAATGCAGTCATGTATCAAGGTAGTCTTTCAAGCAAAAATGAGGACTTTTGTACTTTAGTCAACAATTTAATGTAATATATTGACAATTTATGTGAAATATAATTTAGTTATGATTAAATTAAAACAACGTTCATTCTTGAATGTGTAGAACGGGTATTATAACAAAGCGACAAGGTTCTTTGTATCACTACTCTAGAGTTCTGTTACAAATTAGAAACTCTCTACACTATACGGTGGTTTCCATAGATATACATGTTTCCATAGATGTACAGTACTACTTTTAAAAAGCTACCAAAAATAAGTCAATTGGTAATACCACAGAGAAGTAATACTATTTGACGTTCGTCTAGCGCTCCTGTTGGTGAACGTGCGAACTACCTCCAACGCAGGCTGTACAGAACAGTGTTCGGCAGTGACGCATCGGGGCTGTACAGTACATTGGTGCGTTGTTCTAACACTAATTGTTTTTAAAGTCTTCTTGTTTAATTGTCCTGGTGTAATGAAAGACATCTCCCAACACTACTCAGTTTATTTAGATTTATATTTCAAATGTTTACAATACCGTATATAAAATATAAATCAAAGATGATACAATGGCTATATAGATTTTATTATTTTATTTATTTTTTTTAGATCCAGAAGCAGGTTTTATCAACGGTATTTGGACCTATCGCCAAGGTTTTTTCAAAGCGCAAAAAACGCTGATTTGCCTGCTTGCTCAGATAAGAGTCTGCTGTTTGGATTAGTCATCTGTTATCAATCAACCACTCTTATACTCTTTTGGTTCCAAGTATCGCGAACCATTTGGGTGATTGGAAGACGGGGAATTTATCACTGCGCATATCGTTTTATCTTGTCGGAAGTGACGTATTAAATTTTTGACTTTTTCCTTTTCGCCAAACTCAAGTTGAAGTTGTTACATAGTGTGTCAGTGTTTATTGAGTTCCATAATCAGCTAAGGTTTAGCTTTTTTCTTATTGGTGAGTGTACCTTCGGTGTGAGAGGAATGAGTCCAATTCCCGGCATACACAATTTTGAGGGATTAAACCGATTTTCCTTGGACAAGTTTTTAAATTTTTTTATAAGAAATACCACAATTAATGCAGTACTTTTTGCGAATCATCCCATAGGGATAACTAAGTTTTCATTGCAAACTTTGGTATTTGAAACCCCTGTACAGTGTTTAAATAATTTCGCATTTAACTAAGTTCGTGAACTGGCGTGATTCGACCATTAAAGGTTTTCTAGGGAGGATCTTGTACCCGAAAAATCGGGTATTCTGGGTTTCTCCCTAAAAAAATACATATTTAACTATAATTGTAATATTACTTGCGTGTACTAGTGCGTCAAAATAATAACTATCTATTGGCCAGTAAGATACCGTACTTAAAGTAAACGCAATTATGTTGCTTCCCATGCTTGAAGTAAAAAAAAAAAAAACTAACTAAGTATATTGTCTTTATATATCTTCTTAAAATTCGGAAAATATTTTTTATGGTAGTTTTCATAATTCAACAAAAAAACAATCAATTCCTTGTGGCACAAACCTAATTAATAGCTACTAATGAACTAATAACATTTTTCCATAGTTATTTTATTGCTATCTTTAATTAGGACTATATAAGTTATGTTGAGATAGTTTAATATCATATACGGGTCGAGGCATTGAAAAGTACCTGCATATGATTGGCTATGAACCAGAACTATAACCTTACCCTACCTGAACAACAATGTACTGTTAAAATAGTTTGGCCATGATAAATAAAATAAACGGTATCAGCATTCTGACACATACTTTCTCCCATAAGCTCGTCAACAACCTTTATCATGGGTAAGCAGTGAGAGTAAATATGATATTTTATAGTTAATAAAAATCACAAAAGTTGCAATAACTTTTGAATCGTAATTGTTACAGCAATGGGGTCTTGTATTTCTTTTTTGAATTATAAGGACATAACATATAAATTTTGATGAAAAGCAGCTTTTCCAAAAAAAATCTGAATTTTTTGTTTTATCAAAATCGTTCGGGCCATTTTTGAGAAAATTTGTTTTCCGTTATTTTATGGGAAAACCAACGTTAAAAATCAAAATTAAAAAAACAC